TCATCTGATGCAAAACCAAAATCTGTCAAACGTATTAAATCTACGTCTTCTAAACCAGGACCAATTATCGTCGAACTTTCCGATGTCTCCGAAAGAAACCCATTATTAACAGCAGCAAAAAAATTGAAAAATTCAGATAATTATAAAAATATTTTTATAAGCCCAGATTTGACTGAGGCTGAAAGATATTTAAACTATCAGTTAAGAATGAAGCGTAATGAATTAAATAGTAATATCAATTTAAAAACATCGCCCTTTAGATACGGTATACGAAGCAGCGGAGTCGTCAAACTCAAAAATATACAAACCACTACATAAACATTACTACCCTTCTTCCACTCTTTTACCAGCAAACTTAAAATACAAATGTAAAAATCTTCATAACAAAAAAACAAACTATAGCGTTAATTGTTATTATACTAATGCTACATCTCTCGATAATAAAATGGCCGATTTAATTTCAATATCTAGAACGTTTGATTATCACGTTATTGCTATCTCTGAAACATGGTTTCGAAATGACTCAGTACCCAATATCGATGGGTATAGCCTATATCGTAAAGATCGTCAAGACGGACGTCGAGGTGGCGGTGTAGCTATCTACATTACAGACGTATTTAACTCTCATGAAGTTAACCAATTTTATACAAATCTTCTCGAACAAGTCTGGGTATCTGTAAAATTTAACAACAAACATATACTTATTGGTTGTATATACAGACCAAATGATGCCAGTTTAATAAAATATGTCGCTGAATCCTTCAAATTAGCTCATAGTTTAATTAAAAAGCCCTATGATGACTGTTTGATTGTCGGTGACTTTAACTTCCCGAATATAAAGTGGTCTAACGATGGTATTGAATCTTTTAACCCAAACAATCCTACCGAGTATGATTTCTGGAATATTTTCCAAAACAGCCTTTTTACTCAACATATCACATTTCCTACTTTCCAGACTGATTATGGTTCCTCAAATAATATGTTGGACTTGTTATTTACCTACAACAGTAATTCTATTTTAAACTTGTCTCCTAGTACTATACTAGGTAACACCACTAAGGGTCATTTTAGTATCACTTGGAGATTCTTAGTTTCAGAACTGTTTACCGAAAGTGAATCTCAATCGTTTAATTACAAAAAAGGTGATTACGATTCAATATCTAACTTTATTGCATCAATCGACTGGGAGTTTTTATTCCTGCATAAAACTGCAGATCAAATGTTCAATATACTAATTTCTAACTATCGCACTGCTTGCACATATTTTATTCCCAAGATTAATAAAACAAAAAAAAAGTATGATCCTTGGGTTACCCCACATATTAAAAACCTGATCCGAGAAAAAAAATCCGCTTGGCATATAAACTGCTCTACCAAATGGGAGAATAGTGAGCTTAAAATAAAATATAATCGCCTAAATCGTTCAGTAAAAACTGAAATATTTAAAGCAAAAAAAGCACATGAAAAAGAAATAATATCAAAATCCCAAAACAACCCAAAAATCGTTTACAAATATATCAACAAACAACTAAAAATTAAAGATAGAATTCGCTCTCTCAAAGATACTTCAGGCAGAATTATTGAAGCTCTTCCTGATATAGTTGATCTTCTGAACTCTCAATTTAAATCTATGTTTACACTTGAAAGCTCTGAAAATTTTCCTTTGCTAAATAAAAGTGGTATTCTTTCTGAATGCATTTATAATGAAAACTTGGATTTCTCTATCTCAGATATTATTCAGGAACTTGCCGATCTAAAGCCTTATAAATCCTTCGGATCTGACGGCTTGCATCCCTTAATACTCAAGATATGTGCCAAAAGCTTTGCAATTCCATTAACAAAAATCTTTCATAAATCCTTTAATTCTGGAGTAGTACCCACTCAATGGAAATTAGCAAATATTAGTCCGATCTATAAAAAAAAGGGAGATAAATTACTTGCTGAAAACTATAGACCTATTTCACTAACATCTGTTGCCTGTAAAATCTTTGAAAAACTTGTAAAGAAAAAAATTTTAAAGCACATTAACGATAATAAAATGCTCTCTGCAAATCAACATGGCTTCCTTCATCATAAATCATGCGTAACTAACCTAATAGAAACTTTTGATATCATTTCGTCCTCCATAGCATCTCACCAATTTATTGATGTAATCTATCTTGACTTTGCCAAAGCGTTTGACTCTGTACCTCACAACAGACTTTTGTTAAAATTAAGATCTTTCGGAATAAACGGCAAACTCCTACAATGGATTAAATCTTTTTTAGTGGGCAGAAAGCAACGCGTTACAATTAACAATACCAGCTCTGCATGGGTTGATGTTCTCAGTGGTGTTCCTCAAGGTTCTGTTCTCGGCCCGCTCCTCTTCATTCTCTACACAAATGATCTCGCAAAACTCACTGAAACTTCTGAGATATTTGCCGATGATACTAAACTTTTTTCTAAAACCTTATCGCAATCTAATTTTGTTGATCTGCAGGATCGTCTACGCTTGGTATACGAGTGGTCAAACACTTGGTTACTTAAGCTAAACACTTCAAAATGCTGCGTCATTCATTACGGTCGAAACAACCCCCATTACAATTACTTTCTTCAAAATAACCAAGGAATCAACCAATCTCTAAGAAGCTCTACTAAAGAACGTGATTTAGGAGTCATTTTTACATCTAACCTCAAGTGGAGCGCTCATATTCAAACAGTTGTCTCTAAGTCCTTACAAATTCTCGGTATGCTGAAAAAGACATTCACTTTCGTTGATGAAAAAATGGCTCTCAAATTATATAAAGTATTTATAAGACCACATCTTGAATATGGAGTGTCCATTTGGGCTCCTTATTTAAAAGCTGATATGGCTTTGGTTGAATCTGTTCAACGCAAAGCTACAAAATGGGCTTACAGCTTGAGGCATCTTCAATACTGCGAAAGGCTAAAAAGATTAAACCTACCATCACTTGAGTTTCGACGCCTTCGATGCGATTTAATCCAAATTTTTAAATTAATACATCGTTTTGATATAGTTAATGATAAATATCTACCAAAATATATTAACTCCGTGTCTCGTGGTCACCATTCTAAAATAAGGCGTGAGTATGTTCTAAACTGTCTTCCAAGATATAATCATTTGTATAATAGATCAGCAAAATACTGGAACAATCTACCAGAGCAAATAACTTTGTACTCCTCTGTACTTTCTTTCAAAAATAGACTAGACTCCTGGTTGTGGAAAAAGTTTGGAACAAATATTTATAAAACTGGTTGTTTATAGTGGGGTGTTTCCCCTGCTCGCTGTATGTGTACATTCTATGTAAATTTACGGCTACAACTATAATAATAATAATAAAAACAGAATAAACAGAGAAAAAAAAAAAAGAAAAAAAAAAAAAAAAAATGAATTTGTTTACTCTTAATATATAAGAAAACTCTCGTTCTTTAACTAAAGTTTATTTTTCTGATTTTTTCAGAAATTTCATTGCCTTTGATCCAATTGCTCCAAGTGGGACAAACGAGCACTGGGATTCATATATTTATTCATACATATATTTAGGATGCATATATTTTGGGTGTTAATAAATGTGCATGAACTTGTTTACTCTGATAATGTGAAAAAGCACTTGCTCTTTAACTAATTTTTATTATTTTTATAGAGCCTTAATTGTTCCCGACCCAATTGCCTCGATTTGAGGAATCAGACTGTAAATTTTTACATATTTTTTTGATATTTATAAATATAAATGAATTTGTTCACTTTAACAGTTTGAAAAATCTCTTTTTCTTTAACTAAAGTTAATTTTTAAGGTTTTAACAGAGCTTTTTGTAATCTAGGCCCAATTTATCCCAAAATCAAAAAACGGGCTCTGTGTATTTTTAAACATTTTCCTAATATTTATAAATAAAAATGAGTTTGTTCATTCTGACAGTTTAAAAAAGCTCTTTTTTTAACTAAAATTAATTTTTATTGTTTTTACAGAGCTTTGATTGTTCTTGGCCCAATTGCCCTGAATGAGGGAAATAAGCCTAAAGATTTTTACGCATTTTCTTGATATTTATAAATGTAGATGAATTTGTTCACTCTGATAGTTTGAAAAAATTATTTTCCTTTATCTAAAATTAATTTTTGCGGTTTAACAAAGCTTTTATAGCTTTTGATCCAATGGCCCCAAATGGGGCAAACGAGCACTGGGATCCTTACCTTGGGGCTCCTAATATGAGAATAATAATTTGCTGAATTGAATGCCTTGATTATTTAGTAAAAAAGAAAACAATAAAAATAATTTAGCATAAGAACTTCAATGAAACTTTTTCTCATTGATAGCATTTGAAAATAAATTTATTATCAAAATTAAGTTATTATGTAGCATTTAAAAAATAAATTTATTATATAGCATAAGTTATTATTTCGTATTTATTTTTTTCTATTTCAGTATAGCAGTTTAAAAAATGCTTATCTTTGACATTTTCATACTAATTATATATAATTTTAAACGCACTTTACATTTTATTGTTTAAAGTAAAAACGATGTATTTACTTATTCCTCAGTATCGTTTCTTGCTAAAGATTTATTCAAACACTCAAAATTTTAATGTTATAAAAAGATTTGAAATTTATTGTTTGAAGTATATTTTTTTATTCGAAGTATTATATATTTTTTTATCTTTTTATATAAAGTATATTTTTTTATTCAAAACGAATTTATAAAAAAAATTTTATCCTCTATTTATCGCCACTAGTTAAAGAAAATCTGTTTCTGGAACTTGATACATAAAAAAAGATAGCGTAAAAAAAAAATCAATCATGCGGAAGCTTCTTTTTAAGCTGATTTCAAAACAAGCAAATGAGCTGAGATTTATTTCAAATTAAAATGTTTTTTAGGTATCTCACAGAACTTCTTATACATTTTTTTATTTTCTACTGGAAACAATATTTTTAAAATACTTTCTTTTTTTTAAGCTAGATGAAAAATTTTTTAATCACAAAATATTGATTATACTTGTTGAGTAGTTAAACCGTGCGTGCTTATCTCTAACGTCAGTTAAGTACTAACAATGCCGAATTCAAGCAAAGTGCATGCTTGATATCAGCTTTGCGAATTAATAAAATTCATAAAAGTAACATAGAAAACTACTCATTAATATGAAGAACCGATTATCATATTCAGAGAGGTAAAACAAAATCTTTGTAAGAAAAGAAATTTTTATTAAAGTGTTGTTAAAAAAATATACAGAGATTAGTTTTCTTACGTAATCGAATTTAGTGAGAGCTAAGTAAAAAAAATAATATAAGAAAGTTTTATCTACAAAGAACATAAAAAAAAAGAACCTTGTTTAAAATAAACCAAAATTTTATTTTAGGATGTTTTGCTTATTTCTAATGCATACCATCGTGCTGGTGGTACACGGATCATTGCTTACCGACTACATTGAAAAACATCGACACATTTCAGGTAACTTTTAAAATTAATGGCGTTAGCTTTTATATAGAAAATATTGTACATGCTTTATTTATAACAATTATATATTTTAACCAAGATAAATTTAATATTGTATAGGTCAAGCATATAGACGTCAGCTTCTTGGTTGTAATGAGAAATGCTCACCTGCTTTTTGCACAAAAGATTGCCCTGCTGCTTGTTGTATAATTCTTCTTTTACCTCCTGCTCCTCCAGCGGGACCTCCTGGTCCTCCAGGTATAAATGGACTTATGGGACCACAAGGACCTACCGGGCCTATGGGTCCTCCTGGTGCACCTGGAGCACCAGGTCTGCCAGGACCACCGGGACCACCTGGAGCGCCTGCTGGTCCACCTGGAATACCAGGATTGCCTGGTCCACCAGGAAAACCAGGAAATCCTGGTCCACCAGGAGCTCCAGGGGCTCCTGGAACTCCAGGTACGCCAGGATTACCAGGTCCTCCAGCTGCTCCACCTCCAGCCCCAATGTGTCCAGAAGATTGCATGACACACTGCACCTTATCGTGCCATCCTGCTTGCTGTCCATTCAGATAACTCATGTATTTAGAGAGATAAGTCCTGATAAGCTAGAACACTTTTTAAAACTCGTTGAGCTGTTATTTTTAATTAACTGCTTTTTTAACCCGAATTGTAAACTAGTTCAAAATATTAATATGTAAATAATTCTAATTTTTATATATTTGTATTGGAAATGATACGTATTATCAATATATAAATGCAAATAACATATAGATACGTTTTTTATTCTAACAACCCTTGTAACAATAACCAAAGATAGCAAATACAATGAATGCATAGCATCGCAAATTTAACTCTAGCCTAAACAATCAAATGTTTTTTATGTGCAACGCACATTAAAAAAATATAAATAACAATATTATGTCAGAATTGATCCTAAATAGTCTTTAACCTCTGATGGAGTAAGTTTACGAAAACCATTCTTATTACATATTCCGACTTCAATATTATCCTCTGTCATTTGACCTTCAAAACCTTCCTGTAAAAAAAAAATCAAAAAATCAAATACAATATTTACTCACAGTGGTCAGAAAAGTTTCAAAATGCGAATTAATTAAAACTAATAAAGTTATGCACAAAAAACGCATTATTTAATATTTTTAGACATTTTTATTGACCATAATCAAACAAAATAATGGTAAACTAGTTATTGAAAATGACATTTATTTGACAAAATTAATTTATTTTAGAACTTAAAAACTCTCACAAAAATTTAACAAATTTAATTTTTTAATGTTTGAACTTAGGCAAAAAGACTACCAAAAATATTTTTTTTCGTAATTCAAAAGGTCTCACAGAAAATTTAACAGATAAAAATTATTTCAAATATTTGAAATTTGGCAAAAAAAGATCACAAATATTTTTTTCAAAAACTCGCATAGTTTTTTAATAAAACTAAATTATTTCTAATATCTGAAATTAGGCAAAAAAAAAGGCCACTAAAACTTATTAATTCACTTTTTTTCAAAATCAACACAGTACATTGCAAAAGACTCAACACACTTGGAGAAAGCTCTCTTCTTTGTTGGGGTCTCTGATGCTTAGCAGTGTGAGTTTCTTGAATGGATGGGTCACTCACATGCATCAGCCTATGAAATAAATCATCCATTCCTTCCTTCCATAATGACTTTCGTGAATGATGAAGGCAAAAATTTCTGACTTCTTCGCTTGTCAAACCAATGGGCAATGGACAATGCTCAATCAAGTCTTTGCCATGCTTCAACATTTCATGAAGAATTGGAGGCATATGATACCAACTTTTTCCATTTTCTTGGTTGAAGTAGATCTTTTCAGTTTCTTGGCACAAGTTTTCAAACTTTTGTGAATCTATAGGATGTCCTGATGCAAGAGCTGCCCATGTGGAAATGTTTTCAACAAGCTGAACTGGCACATTGCATATTTGTGCAGTGATACTAGGATTGTCGAAAGCTTTCCTAGCAACATTACCAGTTGTAGTTGTGCCAGCTCCACCATCTCTTCGTTTGACAATGATGATCCCAAGTTTTTCATCAAAATCAGCTTTCACTTTTTTCTCTCTTTCTGCCACAGCCTTTTCTTGCTCAGAGAGCCTTTTGCAACACTTTTTTACATTTTGACGGTATCCAATGTGATAAATTGCCTCAAATGATCTTAATCCAAAGTGTAGTATTGATGCATTAAACTGAAAGGTGCCCTCTTTTGGTAGGAATTCATCAGGTTTTGCAATAGCTTTGAATGTCTTGTAGCAAATGGCACATGAAGTTGAGGCTGGACACTTTGTTAATTGTTGCAGTACTTTACCATCAATCATGGTAAGGAGTCCATAATATGAAACCTCAATTTTTGGATTGTCACTTATGACCAAAGGCTGTAGATCAACAACTTCTTTTTGAATCCTATCAGCCTCTTTTTGAATAGCTTTGTTTGTTTCTCAATTGTATGAAATTTGAATTGGTCTGCAAGACTGAGGTGAATTTGAAAAGCTGTTATGATAGATGACGAAATTTGGTGCAATTTGCATCAACAATCTGGAGGGTACCAGTTGAGTGATCATCAAGGTGCTTCCATCTGGAATCTTGCTAGTAGAATCTTTTTGTTGAAAGGTGCTGAAAGAACCAATCCATCAAACCCATACTTAAAGTACAGGATTAACTTCAGTGGATTGTCATTCTCAATGAGAGCTGAAAGCAGATACTCATACAGAATCTTTTGAGTGGTTTGATCCAGTAACTTTTGGATTTGGACCCAAGCTGAATGTTTTTCAATTTGAATACCATCAGGACAGCACATTTTTTTTAGCCTCAACTACCAAATTATAGTTTGGCCTAATATTGCCATTACTCTCTGTGCAGGCATTTTTCATTGAGTTGTATTGATCTTTAGTCATATCATTCAACAAGAGAAAAGCCAAAGCTTCCATTGGAGTTTTTTTTCTGAATTTCAGGTTTCTCTGAAGTAATTGCTTTTATTGCCTTTAGGACCTTTTCATCAGTTTCACCTGTAGACATTTTGATCAACTTTCCCATGAAATTTTGTTGTTGAGAGGCAGCTTTGGTAATAGCATCTGGCTCATGTTCTTGCCTTATCTTTGCACTTGCAATTTGTTTTGCTCTGACCGATTTTTCTTGGAATAGAAGCTCCTTTCTTCCAGCCTTTTTTTCTTTTGGAGAACGTTGATGCATCTTTTTCTTGTGAGCATTTACAAGCAGCAACCTTAATGAAAAGTGTTTGACAAAAAGACTGCATTTGATGAGCTGTTGAAGAACTATTCAAGTTGTAGGAATGTTTCATATACCTCGAAATAGCATGTGAGAGGTATTTAATTTGCTTTGTTTAATTTCAACATCTTCTGTTTGATAATCTGAACAAAGGAAGCACTGTTTGTGATCTGTAAGAAGTTGGAGCTGGCTTTGGCAATCTGTGAATAAAGCATTATTTTCCTTCATCTCTGTGCATAAGTCTCCATTTGTGATTGGAAAATCCACATTTGGATCATCATACATATTAACTTGTGTCCTAAAATAATTTTCCCTCTTTTAATGTTGCTTATATTACCAGTTAATTTTGTGAGGATTTGGTATTTTTAACGTTTATACCAGTGTTGATAAACAGCGTAAATCTTCTTGCCTCCACTTTTCTTCTGCAGCAGACGGCTGCTGCCTCCTGATCAATTTTGAGCAGCAAAATGCTCTTTCTTCCACCACCTTTTCTATTGGCGGCCGCAACCGGAGTTCTTTTTTGGAGGCAAAATGTTTTGGAGGCCGACGCCAATAGAGTGGCGGAAGCCAATGGTGGCCGCCTCCAGAAGAAATTTTAGACGCAAAACCATTTGGAGGCTGCCTCCAATGGCTTTTGCCTCTTAACTGGCTGCGGCCGTCAAATTGGAGGCAGAAATATTTGCCTCCCGCCGGCGGATGTGATGAAAAATAAATGCTCGTTTGCTTTAAAGCAATTAAATATTAACTAAAAACAAATGTTAAATACTCGACATCAAAGTTTTATTTTATATTATTTTTGTTTACATGCCTTCAGCAAAATAAAAAAAATTATGACAAATAATTAAACTTTTTGATCGTTTGATATTTTGTCGCCCTTACGTCATGCTAAAACTTTAATTTTTCAACCATTACATTAAATTATTAATTCTAGTCATTATATATTGTAAAAATATTTGAAAAACACAACATTTTTCAACATTATTAAAAATTAATAAAGTTAATTTATTTAACATTTATTTATTTATTTATTATAACAAGTTTATTTATTACAAAAAGTATTTAACATTTGTTTCTAGTTAATATTTAATTGCTTTAAAGCAAACAAGCAATTATTTTTCATTACATACGTCAGCGAGAGGCAAATATTTCCGCCTCCAATTTGACGGCCGCAGCCAGTTAGGAGGCAGAAGCCATTGGGTGCGGCCTTCAAATGGCTTTGCCTCCAAAATTTCTTCTGGAGACGGCCATCATTGGCTTCCGCCACTCTATTGGGGTTGGCCTCCAAAATACTTTGCCTTCAAAAAAGAACTCCCGCTGCGGCCGCCAATAGAAAAGCGAAAGCCACTGGAGGCGGAAGAAAGAACATTTTGCCGCTAAAAATTGATTAGGAGGTCGCCGTCAACAGCTTCCGCCTCCTTAAAAAGTCGGTCTTTCGGCGGAAAGTTACTTTGCTGCCAGGCGGCATTATCAACTCTGGTTTATACTTTACTGAAAAGATTGAAATTCTCTTCTTTTATAAAATAATAAATTCACTCACCTTAGGTTATTCAGTATCACAAGCTGCTGATGCTATTTTTGCAAAATTTATTTTAAAAGTTCAAATAATAATTATTTCAACGAAAAACTATTTTGCAAATAGTCAAATTCGTGCAAAGATTGACTGTTTTAATTGCGCAAGAAATGCATGCATTTTGGCGCACAAACTGTAGCACACAGAATAAATGCCAGCTTGGTTTAAAATTCAATTTCTCCTTTGGTCGGATTTGGTCAGACAAATTTTGAATGACTTCAAATAGATGAAAGTTTCAGTTATCTTTAAATGTTAAAAACTAATTAAACAAAACTGGACATACATTTTCATTTTAGGTTGGAATTTCAATCAACATTGGCCTTTTATTTAAAACCATCTGGCAGTCCAAAAATAACACTAAATTTTTTAATTTTATGCTTATATGCCCCCAAAAGGCTAAACATTATCTACAGTACAATTTTGGACCCAGTTAGACAAATAAATATTGTGAGAACTGAATTTTAAAACGTTACAATTTTTGAGCAAATCAACTTGCTAAAAAAAATTACTTTTGTACCATGTAGTAGTCAAAATATTTTTGCACTTTGGATGAAGATTATTAAATGCAAATATGGCAAGGGTAGCTAAAAAGGGTTGAATTACAATATAAAATTTTATTAATTTACAAAAGTTGACTTTTCAAAATCCCAATTAGCTTGCATTTTGAGACCTTTCTGACCAGTCTGACTGTAGGATGGTACTTACAGCAACATTTATTTTAACATCTTTTCACGCCCCTTGTATTTAAAAATGCTCTATATGTTAAAATAACACTAAATTGAAGAAAATAGATTTTAATTATCTATTATTTAAAAAATATTTGTTGAGGTGCTACATGGCCTTGGAAGATTTGATGGGTCCCTAATATTAATTTAATAATTATTATTAAAAATTAAACAAAATCAAAACCATATAAATTTAAAAAAAACTATTATATATTTTATAAGAACATTTCCACAGAAAAAAAAACTATTAAATATTTTTTTCAATTGTATGTTTAAAAAAACAAAATCTAAGATAATAATTTTATATCAAACAAAAACAATTATTTTTGAAATTTTTATATAATTTTGCTTCTTTTGAGAACTAGATTAATATAAAAATATAAAACCAGATAATTTTAGAAACCCATTAAATTCTTCAGTGGCCTCTGAAGAGACCCCCTCAAAAACATATTTTAAAAGCTAATTTCTTAAATCTGATGTTGTTATACTATAAAGAACACATATAGAGGGAGTGACATTTTTCTAATGTTTTAACTATCATCATAATTGACACCAACATAACAACAACATACTTTGAGAGTTAATATGGCTGTGTGAACTGCATCTTCCAGCTCCATCATCTCATTGTATCTAAAAACAATAAACTAGATTAGCTTATAATAATACAACAAACTATTGAATAAACACAAAGTAAAAGATTAACTTGAGAACCAACCTTTTTTCAAGAAATGTTTTACCATTTACAAAGTTTTTACCAACAGCTGTAGCTTTCCATCCAAAATAAGCTCCAGATGGATCACATTGGTAAAGAGATGGAACATCATCATCCCAACCACATATTAAAAGAGATACTCCAAATGGACGAACACCTCTTATAAAAAAGAAAAGAATTTTTATATTAACAAACAAATATCACAAAAATATCTTAAAATATTGATATTGCGATATTCGTACCCTGACTGTGTATACTCTTGCATAACATTAGCAACTTTTTGTACAAGTTGCGTTGTAGGAATAGGCTCACCATATTGTAACTTGTAATTAACGCTTATTCTGCGAGCTTCTGAAACAAGCAATCTAATGAAAAAAACTTCACAAAGTTTATGTTTACAATGATATTTACTTATATATACTATCATATTTAATAGACAATTTTTTCAAAAAAAATTCTTTAGGATTCTTGACCCTCATTGTTTCTATTATGCATTGCTCATTCAATAACTTAAACATTTGAATATTTAAAATATTTTGGATTAAGTAAGTTTTTGTTTAATACATTTTGATTTTAAATTACATATTTTTTATTAAATACATACAATTTCAAACTAACATTAAATTTAATTTTTTTAATTACAAAATTAAAAATAAAATATTTTAACTGCATAAAAAAAATTATAACCTAAAATCTGGTCCCATACCACTATAAACAATGCCAATATGATTAGTAACCATTTCTATCTAAATAAATAATATAAATATCTGTTTCTTTTAAATAGGCAAATTTAAAGTTCATAATTTTATACAAACAACTTAAATCTTTTCATTATTTTGACCATATAAAATGATTTACTTTTGTATTATTTACATAATGGTTTCTACTTTTTATGACAAATACTAGACAATTACTTTATGTAACTCTTATTTACATTATGGTAGATGTTTCATCTTATTTACATTATGGGAGATAACGTTTCATCTTATTTACAATATGGGAGATATTTCATACTTTTTTCGATAACTTTTAATTTTATACAATAATTAATCACCTCAATCTTTTTATTAAAATCTATTTTCAATGCTACAGCAAGACATACAACTAAACAAGTAAACGTTACCTTAAGAAGTAAAAAAACATTGTTATTTTACATTTTAAGGCAACATTTTTAAGGTTATCTTCACAAATTAAACTTGTAATGAATTTTCACCATCACACATTAAATTATGCTATATATATATATATATATATATATATATATATATATATATATATATATATATATATATATATATATATATATATATATATATATATATATATATATATATATATATATATATATATATATTTATATATTTATATATATATATATATATATATATATATATATATATATATATATATATATATACATGTGCTAGAAAGGGTTCTCTATAAAAAAAAGTCAGAGGAGGTAAAATTCAGCACGTGTCCATCAGTTCCAAGTATCGTTAGCCCTGGAAAGAATTTTAATATATGCTGTAATCAGAACTATGCAAACACTGAAAGGTGCAGAGCTTTAGTTAGTCTGAAAGTAATCTCTAAATTCCTTGACAAATAAAAAGTTGCAAAAATGATTTTAATCAGAAAATAGTAAAGTGAAGCAACAAATTTCATAAAAAAATTCAATTTGAAACACCCCATTAATACTTGTAATACGTCAATATATCATGACAAATGATTATTATTACAAATTATGAAAATTTATTATAAATTATGACTATATATAATGACAAATTATAAAAATTTATTATAAATTATGACTATTATGACAAATTATGAAAACTTATTTCGATTTAGACTACAATTTATTTATGACACATTTTAAATAGACTGAAATTTTTTATATTAAGCCTATGCTGAATAAAAATATTGTTTTCAAAGTTTGGTAATAAATATAAAATAAAATTTAAAAAAAATCAATATACTTTTGATATTGTCTTCTCATCAAATAAAATAGACTTTTGTTTCTTTTCAGCTGCAATAACAACTCCATTTACAGCTTAAGAAATAAAAAGTAAAATATTAGTAAACTGTAGAAGAATCATGAAAATTGAATTTTAATGTTGTAATTGAAAAGAAAATTATTATTGATGTATATTCAATTAAACAATTTTAATGTTAATTATTTTTGAATATTACTTATACAGTATGTTTTTAATTTTATATTACATTTATATTTTAAGTCTATTCATAATATAAAATAAAACATTTATTCTATTGCCTAAAGTGCCAAAAAAATTAGTATCACAATAAGTAGTTATTTAATGAGTTCATCTTAAAAAAAACATATTATATAATACCTTTGATTCCAACTGATGGTCCCCCTGCAGATACTGCCGCTAATGCATATTCTATTTGAACTAACTTTCCAGATGGGCTAAAAAACCAAAACAATGTTTATAAAAGTTAATTACATGAAAATTATTGTCTTTTGATAACATAATTTTATGAATATTATTATTATTTAGATTTTTAGGTGTCTATATGTAAAAAGGCCAGCAGAAAAAATTTGATACAAAGGGGTTACACTAAAACATAGAAATGAGGGCAGGAATTTTTTGCCGTTCTTAAACACTTTTAGGTTGGCAGTTAGGTCGACCCTAGTTCCGAGGGTTGTATATATATGCATATATTATATATATATATACAACCCTCGAAATTAGGAAAAATGAGGTTGGCAATAAATTGCTGACCTCAAACTTATAGAGGTCAGCATCAGGGGTGGCAAAAAATATTTGACTACCTGGAACATGAAACGAGGTTAGCGAATTTTTGCCGACCTTTAAGACTTTACGGTCGCCAAATGCCGAATGCTAATCCTAATTCCGAGGGCTGTATATATATATATATATATATATATATATATATATATATATATATATATATATATATATATATATATATATATATATATATATATATATATATATTTATATATATATATATATATATATATATATACCACGCACCACACACACACACACACACACACACACACACACACACACACACACACACACACACACACATGATAAATGGCATAACATTGTTATCTGCAACCTGTATCATATATTTTTTTATTTTATTTTGCTTATTCTTGGCCATGAAGATGGTTTAAAGCATCAAACTGATTGGGTTAAAATACACTTTTTGTTCACAGAACCTTTGCACATCATAAAATTTCTTAAGAGCTCCTAATAAATTACTTTTAATCAAAGGAGTGAGACCAAGGTAATGATAATAAAAATAAAAACAAATCATAAAAAAATAAAAATAATTACTTTTTTTTTAACGAATTTATTCTAACCGAGGCTGCAAGCAACAACTATTTAATTTAGGAGTTAACAGAAAATAAAGAAGAGACTTAAAGAGAGACAAATTCAAGAAGATTTAAAAAAACTGTAAATTGAATGAATCATTAAAACATAAAGACAGAAAAAAAATTTATATTTCAAGAAAAAACTAGATAAGTAAAAGTTTTTCAGTATGAAGGAACAGTTAATCTGAAAGAATGCAACATTGCTGAATGATGAATCTTTCAGCTTTGTCACATTCTTTTACTGTAACTGATCCTTTTACTGCATCATACTTATAATGATTGAGTTTAGCTTGATGGAACATAGGATAGCCCGCTTGAGCAGCACCATTGTAGTATTTGAGATAAAGAGAAGTGACATATTTAGATACTAACTTAGCAATGGATTATATATATGGTTTTCATGAGAGGTCAGAAAGAAATGATACTAAGAAGCCAAAGTGCTGAGGAATTAGTCATTTCATCTATATGTCAACATTATTGTGGTAATTGTTAGCAGTAAATAATAGAGTTATTTTGGGGTTAAAATTCACCAGCCACAGTGAGTTACAACCTATTTGTTGTGTTTTCTATTGTTGTTATTGAAATATTTATTTTATATATGTGTCTATTTTTTTGTATCTTTAGATTAGTAAGATTATTGTTAAATAAAGCCTTAATCAAGAGGTCAATCTTTTAATTAGTTCATTACAATTTATTTAACAACATATAAAACTATTGGGAAATGTCAAAGATCTTAAAACCAACGAGGCTTGATCTTGATCATAATGCACCAACTGCTTCAAAAGAATGGAAGCATTGGAAACAAACATTTGAGAACTTCATTGAGGATTGTGGAGAGGATGCTCCAGACAAATTTCGCTCCATCATTAATTTTGTTTAATCAAATGTTTATGATTACATCGAAGAGTGTAATTTCTATGTAAGCGTTATTGAAACCCTAGAAAAATTGTATATAAAAACCCCTAATGAAATTTTTGCAAGGCATCAATTACTTATAAGAAATCAAACATCAAGTGAATCTTTAGAAGACTTTTTTCAGGAACTACGCAAACTCAGCAAAAAACTGTAATTATAAGGAAGTGTCAGCTGAACAATATCGAGAGGAACAAATAAGAGATGCTTTTATTTCTGGAATAAATTCGAATTACATTCATCAACGACTTCTTGAAAATTAAACATTGAATTTGCAATCAGCATTTAGCCAAGCTCGTTCTCTTGATATTGCACAAAGAAACTCAGATTCCTATATGCAGAAAACATCCTCATCTTCCCCCAATTCAAATATTGTTGCAGCTATAAAATTAACAGAAGAACCCTCAGCAGCACTCAATGCTATGCCTATTAATCCACAAACAAAATGCTTTTATCGTGGTAATCAATCTCACAACCAACGTAATCAAACCTCTGCTAAGAAAAATTGTCCAGCCCAAAATGAAACCTGTTTTAAATGTGGAAAAAAAGGTCATTTTTCCAAAGTTTGTCTTGGCATGCCAATGAATATAACCCAGTGTTTCAACTGCAACACGAGTTTGTGCACTGCTTTAAGTGGTTGTCCGTTGAGCCTCTCACATGCAGCTGTTATTGTCAGAATTAATGATGAACCATTAACTGCACTAATCGATTCCTGTAGCTCAGATAATTTTATATGCAAGAAAATTATTGAGACTTTAAAAATTAAAACATTACCCAGTAAAAAGAAAATTTTGATGGTCCTCGCAACAATGGAGTCTGGATTAGTGGGTTTTTGTTCAGTTAATCTGAAGTAAATGGTTTATTGTATAATAATGTTCAATTTGGTGTCTTAGAAAATCTTTGTAGTGATATCATACTTGGTTACAACTTTCAAAAACTATACAAAAATTTGATATTCCTACTCGGGGAGAAAAAGAAGACATAATTGTCACAAAGGAAAATAATTTATGTGCACTGCAAATAGCAAAAATAAAAATACCTACCTTGTTTACAAGCATTAGAGACAAAACTCAGCCAATAGCTACAAAGTCAAGAAGATATAATAATGATGATCAAAACTTTATTGAAAATGAAATAATACAGTTATTATCGGATGGTATAATTGAGCCATGTTTCTCACCATGGAGAGCCCAGGTAGTGGTCGTAAAGGATCTAACTAAATCTAACAAAAAAATACTTTGTATTGATTACTCAAACAGTTAACATTTACACTAAATTAGATGCATATTCTCTTCCCAGAATAGATGATATGATAAATGGACTTGTAAAGTACAAAGTATTTTCTACATTTGACTTGAAAAGTGCTTACCATCAAATCCCTATTAAAAATTCAGACAAAAAATATACAGCATTTGAGGCAAATGGGAAACTATTTAAATTTTGTAGGATTTCATTTGGAGTTACTAATGGTGTGTCTATGTTCCAAAGGCCTATGGACAAGTTTGTTGAAGAAGAAAAGTTACATTCTCTTTGACAATATAACCATTAGTGGTTATGATCAGGCACATCTTGATAAAAATTGTCTACGGTTTCAAGACGCTTCACGATGTTGGGGTCTAAATTTAAATGAATCAAAATCGGTTATTTCAGCCTCTTCTATGAACATTCTTGGTTATTGCGTTAGTCATAACAACATAAAACCAGATTCTGAGCAATTACGTCCTTTAAATTTACTACATCCTCCTTCTAACATTTTATCACTTTGACAAACTTTGGGTATGTTTTCTTACTATTCAAAGTGGATACCTTTGTTTGCTAATAAAGTTCAGCTTTTAATTAATGTTAAATCCTTTTTGATCAACAGCGAGGCACTTAAAGTATTTCAATTTCTTAAAAAAGAACTTCACGCTGCCACTTTGAGTTTTATAGATGAGATCTTACCTTTTGTTGTTGAATGTGATGTATCAGATGTTGCTGTATCAACTACCTTGAATCAAAATGGTCATCCAGTTGTCTTCATGTCTCGAACATTAGGTAAAAGTGAAATCAATTACCCATCAGTAGAAAAAGAAGCTGTGGCTATTATTGAAGCCATTTGAAAATGACAACATTTACTGTAACTAAATCAATTTAAATTAATTACTGATCACAATTTGTAGCTTTTATGTTTGTTAACCGAAAGAAAACAAAGATTAAAAATAGTAAGATTCAGTGCTGGAGGATAGAGATAGCAGAGTTTAGTTATACTATATCAAATCGTCCTGGATGTGAATATCTGTTTACAGTCACTGATGAATATTCTCAATATCCATTTGCTTTCCCATGTCCTGATATTAGTTCAACGATTGTTGTGAAATGTTTAGATCAAAATTCTCCTTTTGTGGTTTTTCAACGTACATTCATTCTGACAGAGGCATCGTTCATATCTAATAAAATCTTACCTTACTCAGAAAGGAATTGCAACAAGTAATTCTACCCCATATCATCCTTTCAGTAATGGACAATTTGAGAGATATAATGGCTTGATCTGGAAAAATATTTGTTTGGCACTAAAAACCCACAACCTAGATGTTAGACATTGGGAAACTGTTCTATCAGATGCTCTCTACTCACTCCGTTTGCTACTTTCAACTGCAACTAATAATACACACCATGAGAGGTTATTCAGTTTTCTATACAGTTGTAGTAGATCATATTTCATTTTTGTGTAAAAATAGATGTGAAACTTAGTTTTTTACTATTTACTTTACTAAACATTTCACACTTTTTTTTTGTTCAGAAAAGATCCATATCCTGAAAATATTTGGTAAAAATATACATTCTGTATAATTGACAAAGCTACTCAGCATCTAAAAAATTATAGATTTAAGACTATAGTCTGAATTTAAAAAAGAAAAAACCCACATATGTACAAACACCTTCACTAAAATGAAAGCTTAGTTGCTAAGTTTGCAATTTTTTTTTCTGCCTCTAGGTCAAGTGCCAAGTAAAAATGTCACTTTTAATAAAACGCTTTGTATTAGGTTTGACATTATATTTATGTATTTTTATCAATTCAATTTATGAAATGAATAATATATTCTGCAGAATAAATCGATATAACCAAATAAATAATAATGGAAATTTTCGGAATTATAAATCTCCTTCATAGGTAGATATAAACATTGCTAACCAAAACAAAATGCTCAATGAAACAATTTTAATAAATAAACTTATACTTTTTTATTTAAAAAATTAGTTAAAAATACAACAAAAAACTTTTAAATAAATAGAGTTACCTAAATGTAGTTAAACTAAAACTGTATCTTTCAGATTGCATATTTGTTACTTGATTATATCAAAAGTAATAAAATCATAAAAACGAATGTTTTAATACAATGTCGTTGGAATCAGTTAGTCTAGCTAAGCCGAAAACAGCATCTTGTTTTAGACATTTAAAAAAATGATTAGTCAGCAATAATCGAGAAATAAGAGATTACGACCTTAGGGATCATCCATAAAGTACATACGCTCGGAGGGGAAGAGGAGGTCCGCAAATGGCGTATATGGAAGGGCAGTGGGTAAATGATAAAAGAAGAGACACTAAATTAAAAAAAAAAAAAAATCATAAAATGTTAAATAAATAGGTTAAAAGCGTAGGTACTTTTAGGGTCGTGGAGGGTACTCAAAAAAGCGTATTGCAAATTGCTCGACAAAAAAAAGCGTACATACTTTATGGACGACCCTTATACCTTAGTTTTTAGATTTGAATAATTCTACATAATTTTTACAATTAAATATTATAACATAAATACAATTGTTTGAAACACACGTGGTTTAAACAATATTAGTTTGTTATAATATTGCATTTTATCCTTTGGGTGCAGGGCAGTCCCGAAGAGTAGTAGACGGTTGTATAATCAATCCAGTCAAAACAGTTAAAATGTTAGGAGTAACCCTTGACTGGCATCTAACTATTGGTCCTCATATAGATAATTTTTTTTTTTAATGTCATGGTATCTTGGGAGTGCTTTTGAGAGCTAGTCGGTATCTAACTCGGGACCTTCTGAGATTGGGCTATTTATCATTAGTAAGATATCAACTTGAGTATTCGAGTGCAATACTTTTATCTGCATCACTATGAAAGTTCAAGAAACTAGACATACTTCAAAAAATTGGTTCACGAACTATTTGCGGATAAAATAGCGATGTCCATTCAGCCCCTCTTTTTATAAATTAAAACTGGACTCACTAAAAGATAGAATAGAAAAGCATGTAGCTGAACTTGCTCAAAATAATATCAAATAACATTTATCTCTTTTAAAAAATTCCAAATGAATTAGTCAAAAAAAATGTATTAGTCTTTGACATTTAAAAATCAAATAAGCAAATTAAGAATGAATCAAAACAATTTTTGTTGTTCGTGGATCTTAAGATATTCAACTTTTCTTTTTAAAAGTTTCATTTAAACTAAGCTCAAGCAAACAAAAACAGAATTAAATATATTAATAAATTTCAAGTGTTAAAAATCATATACTGATTATTTTATATTATAAAATTAGAAGCATTTAAACACTTCTTAATTATTTTTTATTTTTTATTTCTTTATTTTCTTGAGGTCTGAAATTCAGAGTTGCGTAGTATGGCACGCGGCTTTAGTCTTTTGTCCTTAATCTTGCATCATTTGGATTTTGCTATCAATGTGCAAAATAAGACTATGACCTTTGACTTGGTTTAGTTAACTATACTGGTTTTTAAGAAGGAGCAGCTGATAGTTTGTTTTAGGTAAGTTTATGAAAATGTTTATTATTTATTTGAATTTCATGCTCTATTTTGCCATAAAATTTTCTTATAACTAAAGATACTTTCGGCTAAAATATTCACGTTATATGTATATTGAAGTCAATCAAAATACAGCCAAGCCTAGTTTAGAAGTTTGTCCTTTTGATGCTAAAAAAAAGATGTTTTAATTAGGCTTATTTCAAGAAAGATGACAGGCTTACATAGAAAAAGTTGGGGCACAGTGGATTGGATTTCTTTATTTTTTTAAATTGAGCAAAAGTTAAAATAAGTATTTTTTTTTTCAAGACGAAAGGATTGAGATATATGTCCTTCATGATAAGAAATCATTAAAACCCAAATATTTATTAACTAACGGCTCACAGAAAGGTTTATGTTATGTTATTCACCTTTTCCCAGTGCTGGAGCACATTGAATCAATGAACACAGATGAATTAATGATAGTGAATAGGGACATAGACAAATAACTTTGAGGCTGAGGGAGTAAAGACACTGTACACAATACTTTTGGCATACTTTTATTAATTATGTTAGTATAAAATTGAAAAAATAGTCATTTTAAAAATTGAGAAGAAAAAAAAAGAATTTTATTGATAATAAAACTTATAAAAATATTTAAGAAATAAAAATATTATTATTCATAACTTAAAACTATTAAGTTCATTTTCATGTAGTTTGTTTGTTAAAAATTCATAAATTTAATCTTCAAGATCATTATTGGGGCGTAGTGAATCGATCGATTCACTGTGCTTCAATTTAATGTGCCTCACCATAACAAATTAAGTTTAATTCTAATTTCTTGGGACATAAATGTTGTTAAAGAAAAAGCTAAATTACTAAAAGGAAACATAAATATCAATTATACGAATGAAAAAAAAACTTTTAAAATTATTTTTACCATGATCTCCATAAGAAACATAAGGTAGGTAAAAAAATTTACTTTAGTTACCTAAAAACAAATATTAACTACCAAAAACCGGTTGTCAAAAATTATGTGGTAACAATTATAAATAAAGATGGCTGATATATGAGCACATAAAATGATTACATTATCAAGATGAATAAAGTTCTAATCTTTGAGAAAATGCCTCTTATTCACTGTGCCCCTTGATCCACCCCAACCACCCCTACAGCGTTAAATAGAATGCTTTTTTTTGTTTCACGTGCCGACACTTTACCGGATATCGACATTTAAAAATAAAAAAAAATGCATTCATAGATATAGGCTTTTCAAAATAGAAAGTTATAAAAGCATTGCTTGAGCAATATAATGAAAGTTTACGCCACAAAAAATTAATGATACTCTAGTTTTCTGACTTTCTGGTTTCATTGTGGTCACAAAATGCAATACAAATAGAGTAGCAAGAAATCTAACATTACAAAGAAATGTCTTGACAAAACTTTGATTTCCTTCAACTTCCTTTGATCTATTAGTTTTAACCAATGTAAATATATTTAAATTTGAAAAAAACTTTGTTTTTTTCTATTTCCTTGGATCTATTGGTTGTAACCAATGTAGAAATAGAAGAAAAACCATGTATTTCTATATTGGTTACAACTAACAGACCCAAGGAAGTAGAAGAAAACCAAAATTATGCCAAGACACTTCTTCGCACTATTAGATTCCTTGCTTGTCTAATAATTGTATTTCGTAGTCACAATGAAACCAGATAGTCAGAAAACAAAGAAAATTGCGAAATAATGAATGAGTCTGCGTATACAAATGAAAATCTAGCGATAAAGTTAGAACATCACTATGGACTTTGCATGTCTTGCGATTACCAAAGTGACTTGATCAAAGTGTTCAATGTAAAAGTTGATAAATTATTAGCAGAAGAAAATAATGCTTCTCAGTTCTTTTCATTTCTTGTTCACAAAACAAAAGTTATAATTATTTGTTACTAATTTTATTTATTATATCCAAAAACAACAGGTGTTATATTAAATGTAATTTTTAAAAAAAGGTTATGGAAAGGACTCTATAAAAAGGTTGAAGTAGTTGTCTTATCATCGATACCTTCTTCGAGTTCCTTTCTGTCGAGAAGTTTAGACTTTTATTTTCTTCAAAAATGTTATATGAATCTCTTCGTTAAAATTTATTTTATTATAAAATCTGAAAATCAGGTTTTGAGTGTTTTTACTTGTAAAAAAAATATCGAAATTTCCCAAACTTATTGTTTAGCTTTTCAACAAAGATTTTAACTGACTGTCTGTAGGTTATAAAATTAAAGGTAATCTTTTTTTGTTAAAGTAGTTCCTGTTTTGGCACGTTGAATGTCATTTGCTAAAACTTGAACTTTTTGTACAGTACTTCTTTTTAAGTATATTTATCTATAAATTTAATTTATTTTACGCTATGACCTCAATATTAATAATACTGTCGTTAGAGTAATAGAGTCGTTTTTCATTAAAATAATTGACAAAATGACAAAAAAAACTATTTAATTGAAAATATTTTCTAAAGTTGTTCGTTAAAGAATATTCGTAAAAACTAATCGTTTAAATTATTCGCAGGGTACCAATATATTTGTAAACCTATATTCGCTTACATAAATAATAAACGTTTAACAAATATATATTCGTTCAACAAATAAACGGGAACGAATATATATCGGTTTTTATTTGTTAAACGAATAAATATTTGTTCAACAAACATTTGTTTATAGAATATAATTTGTTAAGCGAATATTATTTGTTAAACGAATATTATTTGTTGAAAGAATATTAAATAAAAATAGTTTTTATTTTAAGAATATTTTAGTATATTCTCATTTTTATACACAGTAGTATCCCGTTAACTCGGACCCTAGATAAGTCGGAATTTTACTAATCGGACAAATTTTCAATTCCCCTTGAATTCTCTATACAAAAGCTTCGCTTAACTCGGACATTCGCTAGGTCGGACAAAAAATATACACTCCGAGTTAACGGGATTCTACTGTATTTTCTTTTTTCTTTTAAGGAACAGTCATTTAAGGCCTTTTAAAAATTTTAAGACAAACAACATGACATCATTTAAGTCATAAAACATACGCTCGTTAAAAATTTAATTAAGCATCATTTAAGAGATAAGAGTCATTTTTTATGTCAAAGTTAATAAATAGGAAAAAATATTTTTCCATTTCATAATATTATAATATAATTGTTATATTATTTATATACTATATAATGTAATAATTATATTAATGAAGTTTTTAAATTAAATTAATTATAAGCAAGAAAACTTTACAGGTAAATTTTTTACGCAATTTGTTCTTTTAAAATAAATCAAATATAATAGGGTTACCCGGGGTTATTCCGAACAAAAATTTAATTTTAAGCTTTGTTATTGTTTTGTTTTTTGCTATAATTATTTATATAAATTATTACTTTACTTATTATATATATATGAAACAATTTGCTAGTTAGTTATACATTAGCTATTACCTGTGTTGATTTTCGACACAAGTATTTCTTTCCTAACAAGTTTTATTTGTTTATACTAATGATATTCTAAAGGAATTTTCTTTCATTTACAACTGTTAATTTAGATTAAATATTTAAATATTTTTTTGCAAGCTGCTTTTCTATATAAAATGCCCAGAAAGTCTTGAATTTGGGATTTCTTTGAAATAACTGATACTACTCTTGCAAGATGAAATGTGTGCAAAAAGGAACTTGTTGTTAAACCTGGAACTTGTTGTTAAGACCTGAAGTAGTCTTATTAATCATCTAGAAGGGCAGCACTACCAAATTTTTTCGAAATATGATAAACTCAATTATGCCCAACAGATTGCAAAAAAACCTCGCGTTATTGATAACTGCTCTTTACAACCCGATTTCATCAGTACACTCAAACGAGCTCGTCTTGTTGCCACTCCATACCCTCATTTTTTCATACCCTCAATTTTTAACATCATTTGATAAATCAAGAACTGCTAAAGCGTCTTAAACTTTTCGTGTTGTTAAAAAAGTTACATCATTGACTGAGTGGATCGTCTACGAACAATTACCTTTTAGGATAGTGGGTAGTAAATATTTTCATGAAATTATGAAGCAAGCAACGAAGGGTAATTATAATCCTGTTTCATCAAAATCACTTTGACATATTTCAAAGTTGATGTAAAATCTTATTTGACGATGGAGTCATTTTTACTTAAAGCAATTAAAAAAAAATGTTTTAGAAAAGAAATAATGTTATTGAGTGAATATGGTGACAATGACCTTGACATTGATTTTTTAGTTTTGGAGGTATAAATATGGAAAACAATTTTCTCTAACTCGAACCCATCTCGTTTCAAAGACATACTTAAAGAGATTCAGTCACTTTCGAAAAGCAAAAAAAAAAAAAAAAGATTCCGTATTGCATTGTTCTTTGTGAACCTTTAATTAAAAAAAAATTGTCAATCCTAAGACTTCCTGTACAGCTGAACGATCCTTTTCTACGCCACGAAAGATAAAATCTTAGTTAAGAAGTGCAATGACAAACAAAAGATTTAACAACCTGGCAATTTTAAACACTCATCAAACATTTACTGAAAAAATAGACATTTAAAATTGGATACAAAATTGTATCGAACGCTTCACCCAGTTTGGAAAACTTGTTAAAGAAGATTTTAAATAGTTGAAATTTATTAATTTTTTAAAGATTTTCAAATGCATGTATTTTTTAAATAAAAAATCAATTTCATATTACCCTAAAATATATGCACCTATATGGTACCTTCAGTGCTAACAGTTATATAATATGGCATCTAAGGTGCAAAAGTTTTAAATATTTTATTAAATATACATTGAACATTTACAAATCAATAACATGGCCGTCAACACCGGGTGCGCCCCCTTTTTTTTTAAGAATTTTTTTTTTAAAAAAATCAAGAATTTTTGTCAGAAATTTATTTAGTGACCTTCCAACCCCCCTCCCCCCCCCCCAAAAAAAAAAAAACTTTAAAGCCGTATTGACCCCCCCCCCCTCCACACTTTATATCCGTGTTGACGGCTTATGCTCCGGCTACCTGTATTTATATTGAAATATTAATTCTATTTATATACTTATACGGCAAAAAATGAAAGCAAAAAAATGGATGTAATACTTCAGCGATCTAGAGAAGGTTGATACTTAAAATCATTAAAAAAATACAAATCAAGGTGAAGAAGAAAAAAATATATATTTTCTCTTCTTCAACCAATTCAAGAATTGCTAAATTCTAAATAAATATAATTATTAATGAATTGAATGATTTCAATAGAGAAATTTAAGCTTTTATGGTCTAAAGTAATTACCATAACCCATAGTAACACTTTAGCAATAGTTTCAGCCTTGATTCGTCTGCCCACTTATTCTGACCCAAATCTTAATTTGATCTTTAGGTTGCATTCTCCACTTTTTCTACATATCAACAATCCATATCAACAATCCATAGTTTTAGACTAATGCTGGCAATAGCGAGCTTGTGATGTGTTTTATCTCATACTGTCTACGCATCTCAGTAATATAGTTAATTCTTTTGTGTTTCTGATACTGATATGGGAATACCTTTATTTATATTTCTGAATTGAGAGCTCTTTTATTAACATTTATAAAGTTGTTAATTTGGTAGTAATAAAAAAAAAAATGAGGTTCAATAAAAATGAAAGTTATATTTTACAGAAATTTTAACTGATGCGCAATAAAAAGAGACAATACTCAGATCAAGTAAGTTGATAATAAAATGAGCGTTAAGAAGAAAAAATTAAGAAAAGTTTTATTTCTCTGAAATAAGATTCTGTTAAAGTCACCTAAAAACAAAATTTTTGGAACTTCTATTTAACGGGTTGATTTGAACTTTTCACAGCACTCTCTCTAATATTGGAACTAAGTTCTAAGGGCCCATTCATAAAAGACGTCACCATTATTTAGCCAATTTTTGCCCCCTCCCCCTGTGTCACCAGTTATTTTTTTACCCTATACCCTTTAAAAAGGACGTCATAAAATCCTGACCCCCCTTGTTTTAACCCCAAAAAAGTGTATTTGATCTTGCAATGATGTTTGAATCTGCTGCTACACCTTTGAAAAATAAAATTAAAAATCTTCTCATACATCTTCTTAAAAAGACATGTTTACATAGTTTTCCATGTTAATTAAACTAAAATAAAAAATCTATATAGTGACGTCCTTTTCTGAAAACCTCCCCCCCTTCCTTTGTCCTTTTTATATCAACCCCCTTCCCCCTATTTGGATGACGTCCTTTCTGGATGGTCCCTAAACTAAAAACATTTATATAGAAAGATCGGTGTCTAATCAATTTTTTAAAATTCTAAAAGTTAAAAAACACCTAATCTTGTAGCATTTTGATAATTACAAAATATTTTGATACAGATTTTAGAATTTCAAAAGTGAAAAACTGTTTTGCTACTATTATCGTATTTTGATAATATAAAAATATTTAATGCAGTTTAATGAATTTTAAAATTAAAAATATTTTTGGTACCGTTTTTAGAATTTCAATATTATGAATATTTCGATGCACTTTTTACAACTTTAAAAGTAAAAAATAGTTTTTATACTATTTTCGCGGTTTCAATTATGCAAAAATATTGGTGCAAATACTTGAATTTCGAAAAGTAATTTGTTGTAACTATAAAAATTTGTTGTAACTATATCACTATTGTTGGTTGTTGTCTGTGTATTATTAAAATAAATTGCGTAAATCTTTTAGGTAAAAATAGAAGCATATAAACTATCAGGGGCGGACTGGCCATGTGGAAGATGTGGACTATTCCACATGGGCCGTTTTCATAATCTCATAAAAATGTAAAATTCAATAAAATATATAAAAAAATAATTTTTTCTGTTCGATATTTATTCATTAATGTATATATTTATAAATTAAGCATAACTTTGTAATTTACGTCTGTTATCTTTGCTGCTTTTCCTCATTTTTCGTTGGCCTACAGGGCCGTTAAAAATATTTTTCCACATCATAATAATTTGGCCAGTCCGCCCCTGTAAACTATGTAGATGTTTAAAAATAATTCTTAAAAAAAATTATACAAAATACGATCTTTAAAGCATGGTTTCACTATCTATGCATTTCTAAAGTAATTGTTTGTACATCGTGCACTTAAGATCATAGGTCTAACCCTATTTGCCCCATGTCAAAAAAAAAAAAAAAAAAAAAAAAAAAAAAAAAAAAAAATTTAATACCGTGTCGCGCAAAAAATTAGGCCAAGAGCAATTTTGGCATATTTGAACTCACCCATTATTTTTTTTAAGAATCCATAAAAGCCGCCTTATTTTCATTATATGAAGAATTTGGTGTCGAAAACATTATCCGTAAATCGAGCAACTTTTTTGAAAAGAAAATCTCTTTAAAGTTTTTGGTCTCAAGAAATAAAAATATATACAAGATAATGTTAAATAATTCCACCAGTTAATTAGTAACAATATTTTACCAATAACAACGTTATCTCAGTCTTTGCCATTGACATATGACACGTTATCACCTGATTAATATAACTATTTTAGTAGACTTTCTTGAACACCATAAGTAGTTTTTTCTCTAGTAATAATATGCGTTTGTTTTGCTATTTTATGCGTGGAAGGGAAAATTTATTTTTCAGAAACGTTTTTCCTGGTTTTTCCGTAAGCTTTAAAGTTTCTTTTGCGATAAACGCATACACACTTGGTTATTGCTTTCACTCTTAGACCATATAAACTGATCACTTTATATGAACTAAAGTTTCACTACAAGCTTTTTTCCTTCTTTTACAAAATATATAGCCGTTTCAATTTGATGCCGGTATATTTTTATAAGCATTAGATTAGGTATCTCTATTTTAAGAGATTCAAAGTCTTTGACTCAAATGTTTTGGAAGTATTCCTACTTCTGTATTTCTTTATTACTAGTTGGCACAATTGGCAAGATTGAATAGCAGAGACAAAAATAATGGATCTAGTAATATACTCACGGTCTATCATAAAACTAAAAGTAGTATTAGCAAATCTTATATAATATTTTTTTAATCGTTGACAAATGTGTGACCACGCAATAATGTTATGTGTTTCCATCACATGGACTGTTCTTTCTAATATATCAATCCGCCAAGATGGGTCGTATGCACTCTAAGGGGTACGAAAAAGTTTGGTTGCTCCAGATATTTTGCTGTGAATTTTATTCTACTTAGTTCATACTAGTCAAGAATTTTTAATTCCATCTATAAATTCATGGTTAACTTGCATATGCCCCTTATTAAATATTCAATAATAAATTTTGTTTTAGAAAGGGTATCTCCGGTTCTGCCTTGCCATACAGGAGAAGTGTACCAACGGTATGTTATAAATATAAAACTAAAACAATTTATACATTAAATGCACAACATTTTTTAATGTTAGTTAAATTTTCATAGTATTACGATTGTAATATCATATTAGCATAATTCAATGTTAATATGTTTAAGTTTTCAATGTTAAATTAAGTGGTAATATCTATGCTCTTTTCAACTTTCAATTAGTTTCTACGACCAAAATTAATAATAGTAAAAAAAATTAAAATTTTTTAATAAATTTATGTGTTATGATGAGTAAATATTTTTTATGATAGTGGTTGAAATTAACATCTGAAGAAGTTAAGGAACAAATTTATAAACATGCAAAGAAAGGTTTGACTCCATCACAAATAGGTATTACTTTTTAGTTTCTAAGTTTAAGGAAAATAATATAGTATATATATTTTTTAGTTAATATTTGTTCAAAAAATGTATATCAAATTTGTGTGTAGTGTTTACAAAAATTTTTAGGTGTAATTCTTCGAGATTCTCATGGTGTTGCTCAAGTCAGATATGTAACAGGAAACAAAATCCTTAGAATTTTAAAGGCTAAAGGATTGGCTCCTACTTTACCTGAAGACTTACATTGTCTAATTAAAAAAGCTGTTTCAGTTCGAAAACATTTAGAGAGGAATAGAAAAGTATGTTTTGAATAAATTTATTTATAGTTGTTTTAATTTTTTTCTCTTTATAAAATTTTAAAGGGTAAATTTTACAAAATATTAATATTATTTAAATTTATCTAAATTGTCTATATTTTTACTAGTTAAGCAGTATAATATAAAATTGAAAAATTAATTTTCGACTTTTCTGTTTTATTAAAAATTAGTAACAACTTTTTTAACTTCTTTTTTTTTAAATTTTCAGTTAAATTATTTTTAATTGTGAATATACAAAATAATCATTTTATTACCTAGAACCATTTTAATTTGAAATATGAATTGTATAAATTTAAAGTGTGAATTAGATTTAAATGCCATGTGGGTCAAGCGCCTTTACATTTTCAGCAAAACCAAAAGAAATCTATTTTGATATTGCAAGATAACTGGATCTTATTTCAGACTATTAAAGTATTATTTTTATGTAAACACCTTTCAGAAATTGTAATGGTCTTTTTGGACTAATTGCATTCTGATTATTATTATTGGTATTGTAAAAAATGCAAGAAGCTACAGTTGTTAATATATTGGCAGTGAATAAAATTCATTGTTATAAAGATTATCCTGCTGCTAAACAATTACTTGAACCATCTAGTATGAATTCATAATGTATCACAATTATGTATTTTTTGTATATAAGTTATTTTTAAAGTCGTTTCATCAGCTGGCTGGGATACTTTTTGCTTGGATGTCTGCAAGAGCATTTGCACCTTACAGCTAGAATTAACAATTTTTTACACTGATCGTTGTTAAGCTAGACAATTCAAGCTTTCTCAGGAGATGCGTGCAGTTTATCTAGTATGACCACACTTCTTTTTTTTATGACGACTGTATTTTCATAATTTGATAATTTGGGCATTTAGAAATTAAGCTAATTTTAAAAGAAGAATAAAAATTAACTAAAAAGAAAAGATCTTTAGTGACTTAGTTACTTTAGTGTTTAGGTTGATTGGTTGTTATATTTATGCAATTGATAGTTTTCTTAGTAGATATTGGAAAATATCAGTTTCTAATTTTTAACTAATAAAGTTTAGAGGTTTATCTTTTATTTTATCTTTCACTAAGATTTTTTTTATATTAGTTCTGTACAAATTTTTTTTTTTTTTTTTTTTTTTTTTTTTTTTAGTTTTTTTTTTTTTTTAGTTTATAGTTTGTTTTTTAGTTTAAGTGTACATTTGTTTATTCAGTGCATTTTTTAAATGCTTAAATTTTCGAATCTTGAATGAGCTAAGTTGCAAACAAAAAAAAAACTATATGTCATAAGGCTGCAACTGAATGCATTTCCTAGCAATTCTAAAAAATTTATGCATTATACTAGCATTAAAGCTATCAATATGGTAAATACTCAAAGAATAGATTTTTGATATAAATCAATGTATAAGGTGTCACTTGATTGCAATTACAATGAGCAGGCTTATTTAGCTCAGCACCTTTGTCTGTTTTTTCTTTTTTAATTATTTTTTCTACCTAAGATTGATCTTATAAAATGATTTTATTCCTTAAGTCACTTTTATTCCTTAAATCCAAGTTTACATTTTTAATATAGCCTACATTAATTTAAAAAGACTGCATATTAATAATGTGATTTTTATTACTCATAATTTTGATAATCATTAAAGTTTATAAAGCAATATTTAAATGAGTTATAATTTGAAAAATTGTGTATGTGTAAGGGTGGCCAGAATATTCTTTTTTACTTAAAGGAGCACAGAAACAAATTAAGAATAATAACTTTCTGTCCTGTACTCTTCTATGAAAATGAGTATTTTAGTCAGACTTGAGTGTGTACATAAATTTTGTTGGTACATGTGTGCGTGTGTATACATATTCTTATTACTATATTATAAACAGTACTTTTGCGCGTGAAATACATTGATTGGTTGACTATTTTTTATTATTAGCTTGTTGACTTATTATTTATATTATTTTGAAGAAGTAGTTCTTTTTTATATTGTAATAATTTTCAATCTTTATGATAATTGCTTTTTAAAAGCTTTTTAGTTTTATCTTGTTTAAATATTTCTACTTTTTTATTAATTATAAGTATGTAATGACTTTTTTATTTTCTAGGATTGTGATGCTAAATTCCATCTTATTTTGATTGAGGCCAGAATCCACCGTCTTGCAAGATATTACAAAACAAGAAGGGTTTTACCGCCAAATTGGAAATAGTAAGTTTTTAAATTCATTAATGACTTTATGCAAATTTTGAGCAATGTTGAGGTTTTTTGAGCCATTAAAAATAGTATACAAAAGTTTAGATCATCTTGTATTAGATATACTTTAATTTTAATAACTTTCTAATTTTTTTTTTTTAATGGAATTCATTTAAATATGTAAAACTCTAGTATCAAACTGTAGTCATTTGTTTTTTAATTTTAGTGAATCTTCAACCGCTTCAGCTTTGGTAGCATAAACAAAAAATGTAATTTGTAATCGATGATATATTGTCAAATATTACATAGCTGGGTGTTTTTGTTTCTAATTTAATTTATTAATTGATTAATTTTAAATGTCAAAATTTTTATTTTTCAACACTTTAACGCGACAGGTGTTCATTGTTTAACAAAAATCAACAAATTGTATTCACTTGGAAGTTGCTTTCGAGTCTAGCATATATATTTTTTGAAATAACTTCTTGCATCTACATAATGTACTCTTATCTACTTCAAAAATCAATCCAGGCATCAAAAAAAAAAATAATTTCTGACGGTTAAGTTCATCTTTCTTAGTTACATTGCTTTGATACAAATAATTATGTTTTTTTTTCTTCCAATAAATTGTTTTTAAATTAATTTTGACCGTATCCTTAAAAGTCTAGCCACCCATGATCCAGAATTTCCATTCAAGACTTACTAGGACTCGTTTTAATTGATGCGAAACCAAACTCTTGAAAATACTCGAAAGGGTTGTATCTGATTATTAAATTTATTTTAGTATATGGCGTCTTTATCTATATTAAAATGCTTTCGGATTATAAACATCTAGCAATGAATTGTGTAAACATGACAGTTTTCTGATTGTTAATATCGATGATTAAGAGCACCAAGGGGATATGTCCAACATTTTACGGTTTTGAGTTATTAAAGTATGTTAAAGAAATGAAATTAAAATAGTAAAAAGCAAGACAATGCATTTGGTTAAATATGAATTATTGAATGTTTTCAAACTTTCAAATTCAGATATCTCAAAACAATAGTGGATGTTATTCCCTTTGTGCTCTTAACCATCGATATGTCCTATTTTACTATATATTATGAATGCTAATTTTTTTTATATTCACTTCACCGTCTTATTCGTGAAACGTAATAAAACAAGGTGTTTCAAATTCTAACATTTCTGAGCAAGATTTAGCGCAAAAATGCAAAATTAGCAGACAAATGGTCCGGCTGCGGATTATTAAAAATAAAATCAAACCCTTTAAGATGTATAAATTCCCAGATCGCAATGCTGAAATCCATTAGTAGCAAAAAGTTGTGCAGGAAAATAATACTAACTATTTTGTAGAAAAACTTATGTACAACTAAATTTCAAAACAATTCCAAGACATCATTTTTATATGGGAGTCTCCAGGAAAAAAGTAAAGGCTAAACTTAAAACAATAAATCTTAAAAGTTCCCCCCCCCCCCCCCCCTCAAAAAAAAAAAATTATGGTTTGCAAGCCATATGTCAACGTGGATTAAAAACAAAGTTTTTTCACTAATTCCACAATAAATAGTGAAATTTATTAAAAAGAGTGCCTTAAATAGTCACTTTTTTTATAAACATTTTACAACGTTCTTGTTTTACAATTTTCATCAATAAAGATTAAATAAAAAAAAAAAAAATAACGGCAGGAGCAATTAGAAGACAGAAGTCTTGTCATCAAGCCCCTATAGTAAGCGTAAAGTACTTTTAACAAATTTCTCATATAAATTTACAAATACTCGTTATATAAAAAAACGAGTTAACACATTATTACAACAAGAATACCATAAATTGCAAGATAAATAATCAGATATTAAGAAATATTACAAGATTTTTTTTTTACTTAAAAATGCAAAAATATGTTTTCGTCTGTTAATTCAAGTAAATACTGTTTAACTATATTTTTAAAACAATTTATTGAAGTTATACTTTTCATATTTTCATTAAGAACTATGTTCCACAGGCGAGGGCCTCTATATGAAATTGAGCAATCAGATATTTTAAGAGTTGACTTAGGTAAAATAAAATTATAGATAGAGCACCTTGTTTGGTATTTATGATTAATTTTTACAAATCGGTTATGAAAGGATTTTGGAAGCTTGTCGTTTTGATATTTAAACATGAATAACAAGTTTTGGAACACGTTTAAATCATAGACATTAAGAGCTTTAATTTCCCGGAGAAACGGCTTGGAGTGGGCGTATTTATGCACATGAAGTATAACTCTACTGGCTTGCTTTTGTTTAATATATATATTTTTCAATGCTGAAGGGTAAGTACTTGCCCAAGCAATATTACAGTAGCTAATGTAGCTATGGATAAAACAATAATATAAATCTATTAAACATTTTTTACTTAGTAGGTGTTTTGTTTTATACATAATGCCTATAGTTTTAGAAATTTTGTTCTCAGTTAGCGTAATATGATTTTTCCAATTAAGATGTTCATCAAATATTATTCCTGAAATTTTAAGTGATGAAACTCTGTTTACTATATTGTTATTTATTATTAGCTGAGGAAGTTGCAGGGACAAGTCATTGGATTTAGATTGGTTATGGAACAAAATGTATTTAGTTTTACTGATATTCAAAGAAAGTTTGTTTGATTTAAACCAGTCATTAAGGTTTTCCAGCTCACGATTAACTGTAAAGAAAATTGATTTTAAATTGGAATGGGTATAAAAAAGATTAGTGTCATCAGCAAAAAGAACAAAATTAAGCATGTTTGAAGATAGATAGATATCATTTACGTAAATCATAAACAGTAAGGGTCCAAGAATAGAGCCTTGAGAAACTCCGCAGCTTATTGTTTCTAACTTTGTACACGTTGAATCATAAGATACTCCTTGTTTTCTATTTTTAAGGTTGCCTTGTAGCCATTTTAAGTAGTTCTTTGTTTCTTCATATGTTTCTAGTTTGTACAAGAGAATTTTATGATCAACAGTGTCAAAAGCTTTTGACAAATCAATGAACAAGCAGAGTGTATAACTTTTCTTAGCAAACCCATCCAGTATTTGACTAGCTAAATCAGTAACTGCATGATGTGTTGAATGCCCTTTCCGGAAACCAAACTGTTTGCTGAATAAGATATTATGTTTTTTAAGATAACTATACAGTCTGTTATACATAATACGCTCAAGCAACTTTGAAAAACAAAAAAGAATAGATATAGGTCTGTAGTTAGATGGTATAGAACCGTCACCATTTTTGTATACGGGGACTACTCTTGCTATTTTTAATTGACAAGGAAAAATACCAGTTGTAATTGAAAGATTGAAGATAAACAAAAGAGGTAATTTAATAGCATCAAAAACAGCTTTAAGAACATTAACATTAATATCGTCAAACCCGGCACTTTTATTTATTTTAAGCGCATTAAAGTATGCCTGAAGTTCATTTAGAGATCCATTACATAGTGAGTTTTTTTAAATAAGATTGGAATGTTTTATTTCCAGGAGTTATATCAGCTGCTAATTTTTTTCCTATGTTTATAAAAAATTTGTTGAAGTTTTCAGCTATTTCTTTTATCAAATATTTCTCTGTTCGAGTTAAGCTTTATTCTATTTGGAATAGTGCTTTTATGTAATTGCTTTTTCCTTGTAACTTCTTTAATTACTTCCCATGTCTTTTTACTATTTCTTTTTGTATGTTCTAAGAGGTTAGAATAACAACTTTTTTTTTATTTTCTTTTTTATTCTTTCAAAACAATTTTGATACTTTTTGTATTTAATTTCATTGTTATAAGTTTTATTTTTAAATTTTTTTTCATATAACCTTTGTTTTTTTCATGATGATTTTCTAAGACCATTTGTCATCCACGGATTATTTATTTTTATGGAAATAGTTGTTTTTTTAATTTTTGGAAAGGATCTTTCGTATTGTTTAGAAAACAAACATAAAAACAGATTGTATGCATCATTAGCATCATTGCACTCAGTTAAAAGATTCCAATCAATTTCTGTTAATAGTTCTCTAATTTTTTTAATAGATTGGTTGTTTATTTGTCTTACATATGTTACATAGACATTTTTAGATTCAGAATTTAAAGAGTAATTTATAAGAAAATTCGGAAAATGATCGCTAATATCAGTTTTTAATATTCCACTTTTGATTTAACAAGTCATGGTAACATTAGTAAAAATGTTATCAATAATTGAAGAAGTATTGCGTGTAGAACGCAATACTTCTTCAATTATTGATAACTGTAGAACGACCACTATGGTAATGCAATCTTTTGGCATGACCTTGTGTCTCTTCATTACTCCATTCTACGTTAAACTTCTAAAATGCCAATAGTATTGATTTCAAACCTAAAATACACAATTCTGCAAATTATCCTGAACTTTGTCCAATTGAGATATATTGGGCGATTATTAAAGCCAAAATACGTAAGAAGTTTAGACAAGCAAAATCAAATACTGAAAAGTAGGATTAAACTACCACAGAGTCTCACCTAGTGCAAAATCTCATGACTCTGATCATACAATTTTATCGTAGTGAAGAATTTTTTTTTAATTATTTTTATTCTATATTTAATAGACGTTTAATAAAAAAAATCAACTTACAAGCTCATTCCAATCTTTTTTAATTTAAAATATGTGTCAGTTTTACTTAACCCACCTTTACGCGTAATTCAGTGATCAGGGTTATAGTTACACAGAGGCCAATATAATTTACTTTGTTTAACTTTATTTGAAACATAAAAAACAAGAGCATTTATTCAAAAATGCGAACCTTCACCGCAATGGTCCCAACATGTATTTTTTTTAAAAGTCACTTTTTAAGTGTTTTATAAACGTCTCACAGTGGGATCTTTAAACGATTTAGTTGAAAAAATGCAACTTTTTTCAAGTAAAGGTTATGAAATAGGTAAGTAGGAAAGTCAAGTAAAAAAGAAAGAAAAAAAGATCACGGAAAAATATATGGATTTGAAAATTCCATATTTAACTACGCGTGGTGGAAAGTTGCATTACGTTTTCCTAGTTTTTACTCTGCATTGTAATTTAAATTTCAGGTTTAGTGTTGTACTAAAATATAGAGAAAATATACAGGATGTTAAATGCTAAGATTCTTCATGTGTGTGCTGTGAAGGTTACTCATTTGAGTTAGCAATATCAGTCAGATTTAAAGGTTTGGCTTATAGTAGCATCTCCGAAGTAGTATCTTCAAGAACGGTTTAGTGCTTTTGTTTGTAGTTTTCTCGTTCCAGTTAAAACAGATTTGAGCTAAATAGTAATCTATTAAGCACGTTAAGGTTGCAAGATTCTCTGGAGAACAT